CCCCCAACCGGATCCCAACAGGCCCCCCGTCCGGGGCCCCAACCGGGGTCCCCAACCGGGCCCCCCAACCGGCCCCATAACCGGGGACCCCAACCGGCCCCATAACCGGGGACCCCAACCGGGGCACCGGGCACCATAACCGGGCCCCAAACCGGCCCCCCAGCCGGGCCCCAAACCGGCCCCCCAGCCGGGCCAACAACTGGCCCCCCGACCGGCCCCCCGAAGGGCCCTCAGACGGGCCCCCCGACAGGCACCCCGACAGGCCCCCCAACCGATCGGAATTGATTTTAATTGCAAATTTAATTGCAATTAAAATCAATTCAATTGAAATCAATTGCAATTAAAATCAATTGCAATTGATTTCAATTGAATTGATTTTTTAATCTGATTGAATTATTGATTGAAATTTAATTGATTAACACCCAACACTGGGTACAGTGCGCTCCCTAATTTGAGAATGGGTAATTGGGGTTTGCCTTGCATATTATCATTATTATTTTTCTACAGTAAACGAATGTACAAATCATAGATTTAGTATATATGGATATACTAAATCTATGGGACAAACAAACTAGATACTTGCTCAATTGTGCAGCAACATACAAACTCTTGGTAAAATTAATTTACTCACACTACATCCTTATTCTGAAGTTGTTTCTCTAAATCATGTACTTTCGCATTCAAATTAATGATCTGTTGTGCGCTTTCCCCTCTCCGTCGGTGTAACGACGTCAATTCTTCTTGTAGCTTTAAAATCTTCTGTTCTAAAGCCTGTATTTTTTCATTACTGCCACCTGGAAACATGTTATAACGACTTTTGTTTAATAGCTCGTTAAGATTTTCAAGGTCTTTACTGAATTAATTAGACATGTTTACATGAATGCCTCTTTGTCAGAATTTTACATCGCTTTCATTGCTTTACGTCTTTAGAACATTGCAAGTTAACATGATTATTATAATTAGTGTATGGAACGAAAGAACAGAGCGTGATAATGAAAAATCGTAACAAGAAATTATGGATAAATTGGAAAATCACTTAAATATTATATACACCACACATTATATATATATTTTTTGTATAAGACAATATTTAGACAACATCACATATGCTGCTCTAATCCCAAAGTAAGTTATTAAATCACTTGTGTTATGGAAATCGGAAAAAACGATGATAGCACAAACACTCAGACCCGAGAATATAGAATAGTCACTTTTTCAACATTGACCCGCCCGGGGAACGAACCTGCGACGTCAGATATGGCGACTCACGAAAATAGGTGTGCAAGCCACTCATCTACAGAGGTCGTCAACAGCCACATTAGCTTGAAATTTATCTCAAACATTGTATCCTTGTACATTAAGAATCTGACATATGACAGAAAACAAATAAATACACACCTTTTATAATTCGACTATGGCGAATTTGAAAGGAGGGAAAGATTTTAATGGCATATTAATGTATGTATTTATTTATATATTATATATATTGTAGTATAAGAATTGTTATTGTTAAGCACCATGTATTTACATCTATGTTATTATATTCAGTGTTAATCAAGCATCGAGTTGTCTCATTCGTCTCCGTCGTACGCTCTCCCTACATGGCGACCCTGACATTTTTGGGATGTAGCTAGTGCCCGGTTACAGTTTGGCTCAACGGACTTAAAATGTATATTATTTATTCTAATCGACAATTAACGGACGTGGACGTAAATTTTAGTGCCAAAAATGTGTAACTCAAAAATACTTGAAAAACCGGAAGTCACCGCACAAGTCGATGTTAACAACCAAATTACAAACAATCATATCGTGACCAATGTTGGGATCATTTCGTGGTCCATGGTGGCAATTATCATAATACTGTTAATGGTTGGAGCTATCATTATGATCCGATATTGTGTGAGGTGCTTCAATAAAAGAGTGCAGCGAGGCGTTGATGCAGGTATAATACGGTTAAACAAAATATAAAAAGGAGCGAGCATTCCTTGTAACGACGACGACCCCGATTCCTTATGAAGAAACCTGAGTAGCGAGATGTTCCTGTCACGAAGCAAATTGCTTTGATAAACCAGTGTATTAGTGAGTGAAAACCCTCTCAATATCAGTGAAGTGTGGTAAAAATGATGAAAATTTTTTTAAATTTTTTTTTATTAAACGTTTATACTACATTATTATATGTACATTATAGACTTTAAGTATATAATATGAATAGTATAAAAATATAGGTAAGTGCGATTTTATGTATGTCAAAATATCTGGAAAATTTAAATGAAGAGCGTTCAAAGGTTAGAACCTACTTAATTAAAATTGGACCAAAAAGACGATGTGGAAAAATAATTGAAACGAAGCTTAAAGAGGCAAATGAATTATTAGAACAATATAACACTTATATAGATGCTATTACTAAGGTATATCATTTAAAAAGTAAACAAGAAAAAATTTCAATTGATAAATATTGTCAGGATTTTAAGTTATTGTACAGTGAGGTAAAGAATCTTTGCAATATAAAAAAAGAAAGTGAAGAAATAATGTTAAAAATGGCAACGTTCGATCTGAAGGTCGCGTTAAGTCTTCTGCCAATCATGACTGACAAAGAAGAAAATACGAAAGAATTAATTGATAGTATTGAGTACTATGCCACTACCTTAGATAACGAATCGAATAAAAAATTAATTTCTTTTATTTTAAAAACCAGGCTGTCTCAATTGGGTAAGCTAAAATTATCTAGTAAATACGAGAATATATCAGAATTACTGACCGATATGCACAAACAATTATTACCAAGAAAATCAGCATCGGCTATACAAATGAAACTTCAAACATGTAAGCAAAATGAACGCACTGTTGCTGATTTTGGCAAGGAAATTTCTGATTTGTTCGCGGATTTAACTATTACCCAATCGGACGAAAATTCTGATCATTATAATGTTCTGCGCCCGTTAAACGAAAATTACGCAATTAAACGGTTTGCCGACGGGCTTAGAAACCGTAGAACAAGTACAATAATTGCAGCACGTGATTTTAATACACTAAAAGACGCCATTCAAGCAGCGCAAGATGAAGAGATCACGACAATTTCCTCAGCGGATGTAATGGGCATGTCCGCTCAACCCCATGGGTTTACACCCCCCCCACCGAGCAGCAAAAACGCGCGGAGGACACAGAGGATACGCGCGAGGGCAGTCCGCCGTAAAGGTAAATACACCAAATACTAAAATCATCGGTCTCACAAAATACAAACTACTCAAATGATTGCAATAGAGTTGTTGTTCTATTTAACTTGATTAAAAATATCTTCATACACACACTTTCATTATTAGTATAGATAAAAACTATGTTTATCAACATCAAGTCTACAACTGAGCATGGGTCTCCTGTAAGAAAAGGCCATAGTTTTAGGTCATAGTTTTCGTAACATATCACATTATTGGTGTGTCATCACTACAGAGATTCAAGAGTCAGAAAACATTTATGTAGGAATTTTAATTTTATTTTACAAAATCCCAGTCATTAATTACTAAATTATCGCACATAAAAATAAAAGTTAAAATTTAAATTTCAAATATGAGAACATAATGTGTTTACTAAAAATCACAAAAACTTAAATTTAATTTTGTCTCACATTTTTAGTTGCAGGCCCTTAACATATTTGATAAGCACAAAAACCTGTTATTTCTCAAATTTAGCTATATATTTTGTGTTAATTGTTACTTTTAGTATTATGACTATGATGACGGCTCAATAAACATTGTAAGATAAAGATGAGTTTAATGATGAACAAGTATAATACTGAGAAGATACCATTTTATTATTACTTTATTACTTAAAAAAAATTGTGGTTTGTATTCACTTAAAACATTCCTTATTAAGCACTAAACTAAAGCACTTTTTAAATTTACTTATTCTTTATGCAGAGAAAGTAAAAGCTTAATTTAACTGACCTCCACCTCCTGTACTGTCCGCGCCTGAAAATCTTATTCGTTCATTCACTAAAGTCAACTGTAGATTTTCATTCTTTAGAGTATTTACATTGTCAAATAGTCGGCTCTCTGAAAAGTGATAAATGTGTTAAAGTTAGCAAAATAAATACTAATATTAGGCTCTTCAACCACAACTGAAAAGTCTCATCTAAAATACACACAAATATTAAAAATACATTTCAAAAATTTAAAATGAATTAATATTGTATTAATATTAGACATCCGTTCCTGGCAATGGGAGAGTTAAAATATTTAGGAGTTTATTATCTGTTTACAATAGTTGTAATACTTAAATAAACAATTTTAAGTGGAAAATATTTAAACACCAAATTAAGATGATTATATTTTAGGAAGCATTCAAATCGTAAATAAGAAAAACAACAGTTCCTTACTAAATGTTCATCTTTTCAACCAATTTACAGTGTGTTGAGGGGCCCCTACAATATAAGTTGTTTGGTGTTGTGAATTGTACCATGGTGAGCAAAATCTTAGAATATTGTGGGTACTTTTTAAATGTTTTCACTTTATAATAACGCTCTAAACTAAAGGTTACCTGTAGTCAGGTGACCTGTTTAACTTTTATTAACAAATGTGAGCATTTTTAATAACTATTGCTAAGCTGAATTAAATTTTAGCTGTAATTTGGATTTAAGCCCTACAGCAGAGTTAAGTTAATATACTGAAAATTTGTCTTCTCTGAATACTTTATAAGAATGTGAAAAAATATATCAACAGAATAATATTCATTATTATTTATTAAAACTTTTACAAGTCAAGAATTATTCAAGAAATTATATTATGACATTGAAATAGCTATTAATTGAAAGTATGTGGTATAGTTATAAATTTACTTACAATAACTCGCTATAAATTATAGCGTCAACTAAATTATTGTTTGTTTCTTAGAATAGAGATAAGCATCTGTGTATCTGAACCTTTATCTCAAATAAAGTGATAATGAGACTATTATAGCTCTAAGATATGCTGTATTTTGTGTATTATATTACGCATAGACCTAAATACATAGTCTAGCAGCATGCTAAGCGAATTCAAACGCGGTAAACTTTTAAAGAACAAAGACAAATTTAAGAATAGGTTAAGTAACTTACGATAGGCAATAATGTCCTGAAAGGCAGCTGTTTCATGCTTGTTCCGTGCCTGTAGCTGACTTATTATGTTAGTTCTCCACTCTCCACCTTCCATCTTCGCCTAGGCGACTTATTATTGAAGGAAACTAATTAATTAGAAACTTGTGTTATCAAAACAAACACCTGTCATGATGTTCTATCGTACAATAATTGCATAACAGAAACGCACATAGCACTAGGCCTTTAGCGTGGTTTTTCACAAGGTACAACGCCTATAACCTTAGTAATTATCTTGTAAAACAACAAAAGTGTATTACTTCAATAACTTTTGCATTTGACAGCAGTGACTTGACATTCAATTTGACAATGACATTGACAGTACAATTATGGCCATTTTTTTCATAGTTCAAACAACAAAAATTGAACGAACAAATGGCGGATTTCTTTAGCGTCGTACCATAATCTATCGATAAGTCGTTATCGTCATGCAAACATTTAATTAATACTTTAAAGTAGATCAATATTCCATTTGGGAATATTTTAGGTTAAATGGGAATATCCGTAGAATGTCACATGAAATTTTGAATTTATTGATTTGCGCTTACAAATACTCAAATATTACGAAAAGTGAATTAGCACAGAAAAAAAATATATTTTGTAATTTGAGAGTATATAAAAAAGAGAAAACTTGAAATATAAATCCTATACATTTCCAACCTCAAGATTCATATTTTCTTAGAGGAATTTTTAAACGGATTCCAAATAGTGTAACCTTTTTTGTATTTATGCATTGGTATAGAATTAATATCAGTGACTGATTTAAGTGAATCTTTAATACTTCCATTTAATTTTGGAAATAAATGAAAGTAGTACATAATATTATCAATAATAATATTATTATCATACGTTTATTTGCTTAAAACATGGTATACTCGTAACAGGAGATGTAACAAGAGACAGTGGTAGTACAAACATGTTTCAATATATGAAATAGCATGCAAATGTCTGATTATACAATGACAATTGACTACTATTGGCCGAGGGCCGTTGATTTGTGCAGAAAAATCGACACTGCTCCAAAGCGAGACAAGTAGTCACGAGCGACTGCGAGTTGTGAAAAGCCACGTCAAACGAGCTCTATACACGTTAGCGCTCGCCTTCAGTCGGTCAGCTAGGCGAGTGACACCGAACGATGGCAAGGCAAGGCAAATAGGCTGTTTATACGTTGGTATTGGCCTTCACCCGGCAACGTTAGACCAACATGGTCATTGTACTGCTTACTTTATAAAATAAGAATTTTTAGTAATTAGAGTTGTCAGTGTGAAAAAATCGGAAACGAGTGGAGAATTTTGCTTACAGGAACTGAGAATGCCTAGTAAATGAGTCTTGTTTAATCTAAATTAAATATAAAATTATTTACCAATAAACCTAATTATGGAATTGCATTATTAAGTAATCTAGTTACATTCAAAGTTATTTCAAAATTAGACTCTTCAAAATGAAGCGAATGAAACTGAAGATGGTCTTTGATTCAATGTTTATATTCGGCACTATTATACAGCGGTATGATTTTTAACCATTCTTTTGAAATAGTAAAAATAATAATAATAAAAACCTCGTAGTGAATTATTTTAATAACAGAATATCGATAAAATGTACGCCTCCAAGAACAACACTATCTCAAAATAATCGTTAACAACAATCATCAAAATATATAAACAAACAGGCAATCTGAAGAAACCAAAGCAAAATTTGGCAAGATTTATAAATAAACTACTTAAATATGTCTAATTACATGAGATATTTGGGGTTTTATGTGATTTATACACAGAAAAATAACACTTGCCTGTACAATGTTACATTCGGTCGATCTTCGCTTTTTCAAATGCCACGTCCCTTAATGCTGTAGCGACGAATTTTTATTAATACCTAATTGTTCTCGCTGACAACATTTTTGTCCATTTTATTACAATATATGCGAATAATTCAATAAAACACTTGGAAAAACATTTGTTATGGCATTTGATGTACTTCCCTTTGACAACCGTATCATGTACCTCATGTACTGCGAAATCTTAGAGGATGGAAAAAAATAGTCTAAGTGCGAAATGGACACGGTTGGTATTTAAGATGACGTTACGTATTTTCGATTCCCGTGTTTGACAATGTTATGCTTTCTCTTTTGGCTTAAGACGGCATGCAAGAGTTAAACAAAGACAATAACATGTTTATGTTTTCAACGTCGAAACGCATCATATACATATAACATCTCGCACATTGAAACCAACACCGTCACTAAACGAAAATTCGTTTTTTCAAATTTCGCGCTATGCCTATCACGTGGCAAAGCTACGTCGAATGCACAAACACCCGTGTCAAAAGTCTTCTTAGTTTTCGCTAGATGGCACTAATGTCACTACTACCTTCGACGCAATGCCTGAGCTTCGTAACTGCTTTACCGACATTATCTCAGTAGTGACGTGGCTGTCAATCATGGTGGTGTAGTCCCTGTGCGCAAGAGTGTCACTAATAGGATAAAAACGTTATTGCCTTAAGATTATGAGGTAAGTGAACAGATTGTAAGTGGAATACCGTCTTTAAGTATTTAGTGTCGCTAATGATTTATGCCAATCACAATTATTTTAATATTTTAACTGGAATAGTGTCATTATACAGATAATGCCATTTTTGCCTTAATTTGAAACGAAAATCATAAATACTGTTAGGAAATACAGTCACGTTGTTATTAGTGACGTTTTTGAGTTAACTGAACTGAGATAATTATAAAATTAATAAATTAGTATTGTCATTTTATTATTAAAGTCTTCTTTACTTTTTGTATATTTCATGAACCTTACTATTATTAAAACGAGAAATTAAAGAAAAACACAAACGTAATATCACGAAAACTAGAAACGGTTTAAGAAACAAAATGGAGCGCATTACACGATCAATATTATTCGAGTGATACGATATACATTGAAGCATTATTAGTCAATAATGCTTCAATATGTATCGTAACACTCGGCTCAATATGTGTCGTATTGTTATCCATACCCGCAATATCATTCATAATATCTCGACCACGATCTGTACTGATTGTCTAAAATTATAAATAATATTCTCCAACAAGAATAAATTTATTCTAACTTAAGGTTTCCGAACAGAATCAATATTTGGTCATCAAGATGGACAACTAAGGTACATTGGGTTTTGTATTTTAGTTATAAAATGTTTGCCATTTGGAACTCTAAAATTTGCCATACTTACTTAAGTACCTTTTTATTTTAGATTGCCAAAATGCCGTTGCCAAATTCAAGAACGCTGAAGATGTAGCAATTCGAAATGCCAAAAAAAAAGGGTAAGAAATACACTGTCCACGAAATGTGCCATTCAGAATTTTACAATATTAAAAAACTGGTTGATGGGAAGTTGGGCATCAAAATTTCGGAAGTCAAGGTAATTAAAATTGAAAGGAATGACGACAACACAATCCGATGTTTTTACAAGACATCTTATCTACAAGACTTCAGGGAGCTTCCTGCGCAACACACTAACACACGTGCATCTGGCCGAGCACAACGACCATATCAACAGCAACTCAAACCTTTATATGCAGCAAAGCTCCCTCTTGGTGAGAGGAAAAAGTCCGATATTCGATCTCTTATAAATGCTAATCATATTCCACGTTACTATGCATCATCTTTTTATAACGGTATTGTTTAAGTTGTCTTTTTTGTAGAATGCTTAGTAAATCTAATTACCTCTCTTCGATATGTAGTTACAAAAAAAAATTGTACTCCACAGAAATCGCCACCATCGTTTTGAATACGCTGAATTCTGCGTTATGTACAGCAGAACATCTTGACTACAGTAAAGTATTAATATTGTACCTGTTTTTGTAATATTAGTTAAAATTTAATACCAGTTTATTATTGTACTTTTAGAAGAAGATATTTAAGATACCATTTTTAATTATTATTTAGAAAAGGACTTAAATTTTGATTGATCTCACTCAAAAATGACTGATTTTTACGCTTTTTATATAACATTTTTCCTTGATGTTGAATAAAAGTTTTTTCAGTTTTGTTTAGTTATGTTAATACCATTTTATGTTTATTTTGTTACCTAGTTTAAATTAGTCGCAAACATTACTACTAATATTGTTGATTTTGTATTTTTTGAAAACTTTTTTAATATATAAGATTTTGGTAAGTACATTGATCTCAAGTGATACATCATGATAAGTTATCTATTAAAGTTAGCTATTAAAATTCGGAGAATTAAAATAGCTTTTTTATACAATACTTATACGAGACACTACACAGCAGTGATTGTATGTTTTTGTTTAGTTATTTTAGATTGATTTTTGTTTAGTCTCAAACAATTGTGTTCCTGTAATCTGCAATTATTGTGCCATTTTTTTTACCTAGTTAATAAGAATAAACCATTACTTTAAAAACCAGTAAACTACTTTGATAATTCATTATTTTATTTTCCAAAAATGTACTAAGATAGTGTCAGTTTATCCTTTTACTACAAACAATTAACGAAATATTTTAAATGGAATAGTGACACTAAACAGTATTTTTTTTTTCAATTATCAAAATATTAATAGAAACTCAATATAATTTGACAAAAGTTAATTAATAGAAAGGCCATCCTCTAAGACATAATATAAAAACATTAGGTTACGTATAACTTCTTTCAATAAAAAAATATTATCCTGACTTATTTTCAGAAACTTCTATCGCCATTTCCCGAAAGTTGATTTTGTGCATAGTGACAGTATTGGTTTCAATGTGCGATCTGATTTACATATGTCAACATAACATGTCCTCTAGTTTCCATAGTCTAAGTTCAGGACAAATACATGAAGTCAATGCATGACAATAAATAAAAAACGATAATATATTGCCAAAAAGTAAGAGAAGCATTAATATTCTCCGCTCCTTGTCAGGCACTTGGTGGGGTTCCCATCCATTCTGCCAAAAAATATTGTATAATTTATTTGTAAGTCAATGGTATAATGCCATAATCTGTACCTAGTCACTTTTGTTGGGTGATCTTCTATAAATGAAACAAATATTTTCGTACAATAAGTATTTCATTAATATTTTCAACAAATATCGCCATTTTATCTACGCATCAACAAAACGAACAACGTATTTTTCAAAGCGTAAAGGCAGAGACAATTTTATATTCAACACTCCACCTCGCTTTGATATTACAAAATATTAACAATAATTATAGATTAATTTTTATTAAGTTACGAAAGTTTGTAAATGTATCA